TTAATTTTTTTTACAGTGTTAATTATGTTTGCATCAGAGTGAAACCTCCTCAACTCAGGCGTTGCTCTGCAAAACCTCTAAAATGGCGTCAGGTTGTGTTTTAATAACATCCTGGTGCAGGATGGAGGAAGCCGATAAATGCACTGATTTATGTTGAATGTTTACACCATTGAAACCATTGACCAAATCGGTGAGGTTTGTAAAGTGAAGTGGAAGCAGCTCCAAAGCTGCAGCTGCTCAGATGTTCGTTAGTCTTGTATCACTGTCATTCTTTCTATTTCTTTCATGCATTAAACATATTTAAGCTCAACACAACCTCGTGACCTTGTCTATTGACGCATGATGCAGCTTCCACCTGCACATCCTCTGTGAGTGTATTTGTGTGGGTGAATTATTCATATCTGCTCCCTGCTGTGGTGCAGAGTGTGGAGGGTGTGTTTGTTTCATCTGCATGCTGCTCCCTGCTTCTCTCTGAGCACACAGGTGGAGCTCCCTGGTGACCGCCTTTGATTGACAGGCGTGCTGACTGCCTGCTGCATCGCTGATGATGCTCCACGCCGCCGCCATTGACTCACCGCCACGACTCACCCCAACTCAGAGATGAAATCATGCAAACGCTCAACAACATGGAGGTCTGCGTGTCACGTAAAGATATTAAAGGAAGATCCTGACATTACTGAGACATGTTTCATTCCTGTGCATCAAACTGTAGCTCAGCTCAGGACAGTAAAGTACAAATACTGTGTAAAGGTACACATTTAGGGGTGTACCTACATTACAAATGAGGATTTTTACATACAAAACATATGCAGAGCTTATAAAATGCAATATTAAAATATCTTACAATATAGACAAGTGGAGCTAAAACAATTAACACAAAACCATTTGGCAGCTGTTATGACCCCTTTTCATAGCTGCAGCTTTTCATTTATGACAATTCGTTGCTTTTCCCTTTAATATTTTTTTTCCAAGTTTAATAACTAGACTGTTGTTCAGACAAAACGAGCATCATCCAGGTTCGATGGTCATTATTTTTAATAATTTATACAAACCAAACAATCAATTCATAATCCCCCAAAAATATTCGGGAGACTCATTGCTAATAAAAATGTCCCATTAAGCCATATGGTAAATATATTATCACTTGTCTCCACTAACTGCAGCTGTAAAATGCTGTTTATACATATGAATTGTAGGAGTAATTATCTAGTGGTATAATGAATAATAATCATAAAAGCCAGTTTTCTGCGTTGAGTGTTTTTGCTAAAAAATACTTTAAATACACTTAATTGACTACACTCATTTAAATATGTATTCTTTTTCATGCAGGATGTATAACATGGAGTCATTTTACATTTTGGTATTATTACTTTTATTAACTCCAGTGTTAGACAGATGTATGTAAATTAGACATGTTAACTTATTGTGTGTATGAAG